ACAATTAAAATGTCTCACAGCAGCCTTGAAGTCTCACAAGCTTGAGGTGGCCTTTCAAATTTAAAGAATAAAAAGAATTAAGAGAGATTTGTGTCAGAAAAAATCTGTTCAAGCTTGTTGCAGAGGATTATCCATTTATGATCAACCTCAAATAGTTGTTGCTGAGCATATCTCTGATCTTTGACCATTCCTTACAGTCTCAAACTCTCTCTTGAACTCTACTTTTTGTGCAACAAATTTCGTCTTTTGATCATAAAGAGACATTAAATCAGCCTCACAACCTTTTCTCTCTTGAGCTTCAACCACAGTCTTCCTTGATGCCTTTATTTCTTTCTTCAAGCACAGTAAAACGGTTGACAGTAGCAAAAGGGTTGCTTGAAAGATTGTAGAACGGTTGGCAATTCTTGGTGCATGGACTTTTTATTATGGCTTTAAGTCCAGGCGAAGACTATTGGCCTCTGAGGTCGCTATGTTCTTTAAAGGCATCTTCATAAAGTCTACCAGATCGGCCTCAAGCTCATTGATAATTATTATTTTTATAATTAAATTGGTGTAGATTTTGAAACATATTTAGTAAAATCTATAGATAATTTATACCTATTTAATTATTTTTTATTATATTTTTGTTTCTTAAATCTATTATAGGATAAAGAGAAGATTTTTCACGAAATCTAATATATATATATATATATATATATCTTTCTTTTGTGCACGAGATATTAAATTTATGATAAGGAAAAATAGCACAAAGAAAAAATAAATGAAAAGGGAGCAGTAATTGCAAATACAATATACACACACACAAAAGAAGAAAGAGGTGTGGATTCAGGAAGAAAAGCAAATCATCAATCATAATATATGTTACTCTTTCGGTCTTTAATATAAGATCTAATTATTAAATTGATTTTGGTCCTAAATATAAGACCTATTTCTTATATTTATCAGTTTTTTTTAAATTATCTCTATGGATACTTCCTCAACCATAATTAAGTAAAGAAAGAAGAAGGATATTAAGAAAAATGATTATGGTGTTTAAAAAAAAAACATGTCACATTTTTAATATTTAACTAACTTACTTAACTTCTTTAATCTAGTCAAATTAATTAAACAGATCTTATATTAAAGATCGAAGGAGTATATTATATTGAATGAGATATGTTAATTTTGGATTCAAGAAAGAGAAGAATTAGCGAGGTCCATTATATAGATAGCACGAACGGACAGTGGAGAATTATCTTGGCGGCAGCAGACTCGAGCGAATTGATCTTGAAGGCACGACTCTTGTTTCTCCTGTGACAGCAGCAAGAAATGTGGAGCAGAGCATATTAAATGTTGCCAAGAGCAATCTAACCAGCGAGCGACCGCGAGCATTAGGTTTCCTTAATGTCTTTGTCAATTTATGTCTCCCTTTGGTTGATTTCACATTGAATCTAACAAGAAAAAATATATTATGAAAAAGGAAAGGGAGACAGAGTGCTCGAAAGTGCTTTCTAATTCTCTAGTTGTGGGATACACATGCATTTATATAGATTAGCAAGGAGACTTCCCAACTTTTCAAATTTCATGATTTTCCTCCCTTGAATCCAATTCTATTGTACTAAAGAAGTAGACTCCTTTATAGGAATTCAAATCGAATATGTCAAAACAGAACACCAGCTGATAATGCTTGTTAGTATTGATCACCCAAAATTTTATATCCGGACAATCGTATAGCCTCTCATAGGTGTGTATTAATCTTGGAAAGAACAAGAGAAATTAGCTTACACAGGGAAATGGTTTAGGCAGAGAAGTGACTGATGAGCCTGAGGTTGAGCTTGCCAGTTCCAAATGCATTGATTTACAAGTCTTTGATGTAGAACCTTCAACCCCTCCTTGAACACACTGCCCAGTAACAAATTTGGGCTCTTAAGGATTAGAATCAGATCATAATTGTTTTTACATTGTTTTTAGTCTTAATCATTTTGATGTGACACTCGGAATTCTTTTTCGAACGTTTTTATTGCATTGTTTCACAACAGTTTTCTGACGTATTTCTTTGTTGGACCCCTTGATCTTCTGTCTTTGTAACACTCTCTGTACAGTAGAGAAAAGTGAGAGCAACTAACAACCTATAGCATGATGCATAAAACGTTTGATTCCTTGAAGAATTTCATTATTAGTAATATAAATTTCTCCGAGTGATTGTTTCTCAGGTCCCTCAAATTCATTGGCTGATTATTTCATTCACCATTCATTAGATAAATTGAGGGATATATATAGCAAAAAAGACATGGGTGCTAGACGGGTATTTTTTTGGCTATCTTAGAATTTGCAGATGAAAGACCTTCAAATCTTCCCATAAAATCATTTAGTATTCAAATCATTTGATACTGTTACAATTTCTTCTGATATATTTCCCACTTGAATCTTTGATGTACTGGATCTTCAAATAGAAATAAGCTTGTAGTTGTAAGTGAGTTGATGCAGTAACTAATTTAACATCCTCTGATATAGAACCTTCAACATGCTGCACGGCAACAAAAAAAATAAATTTGCATGACATGTTTTATTTCTTGCAGAAATTCATTATTGACATTATCTGTTCTTCTGAGTGACTGTGACTTTCATTGGTCCCTCAAGCAGTAAAACTTGGATTCATTGGAAGATACTTCATTCATCATCTCCTCATATAAGTTACTGAATATGTATTCAGAATTAAAAGGCTTATGGTTAAGAAGAATATACATTAAAAATAGCTTATTACATAAGGAGCAGCTTAGGAATAATTTGACAATTCCATATGGGGAATTATTTGAAGATATATAACAGCATTGACCTGAATATTTTTGTCAATTTCTATCTTTGTCTGGTTGTCCTTGATTTGCTTCTAAGCAAAACATGCAAAGACGAATTGAGAAAACACCCTTCTACTTTTAAACTATAGTAATTGATATTTTCTTCATGACTTTTTCTTATGTGTAAGGATATATAACTAAAATTATGGGTTAAATAATAATAATGAACTGATTGAAGTTCAAACAACAACATATAGAAATATAACACTCATGAGAGAGATGTGCAATGTGGACATTGATGTATTGCAAGGTGTCTTACAGTTAAAATTAGTTTTAGTGTTTATCACAGTGATAAGCATTATGATGCTTAACAAATTTTAATTGCTCAAATTTAATATGGATGGTGAAGATTTGGATTTTTAAATTTGTTTGTTGAAAAATGTTTTCCTTTAAATGTTATATAATCTAAAATAAATGTAATCTCTTAACTGTAGGTTTTTAAAAAAATAATTTTTTATTTAAAAATTATCAGTTGAAATTTTAAATTTGGATCATTAAAACTGTATTTGAATAGTGTAGATTTGACTGTAGTGATTAGTACAAAAACCAGTTCCCTTGTAGCCTAGGAAACATCAGTCAAAAAGTAATGCATATTCCAAATTTGGAATCCTTTTTCATCTCCACTAATTTCAAACAAGTAGCACACCACGTGTAGACACCAAATATGCCCGTTTCAACTTATGGTACTATTGAATAAAGATTTGGGTTAGACAAGTTTCATGAGGACTTGACTCATTTTGATATTCTTCTATTATTTCCTCTAATTCCTTTCAAATTTATTACTGCCATTAATCCAATGATGGCTTGAAAGATGGAAATGTTGGTTGAGAATTTTCTGGACAAAAGAATGAGTTGTCTTAAAGCAGAGAGCTCAATGATTTGAACCATGTCTAGATCTAGACCTTCTTAACTGGATTGGCCAAATACACTCTTCAATTTCTTAGCCTGAAATATTTCTAAAACTTGACTATTAAATGGATGTCAATTGTTTTAATTGAGGAAATGCAATTCTACAGCACCTTTGATATTATATGCTCAAGTGAATCACATTATGATATACACAAGCATTTTAAATGTCTCATTAGGTGAGTAAGTTTGGCCAAGATTTCAGCTTGAACCAAATCATACTGGGGGGGGGGGTCCATCACATACTCTATAGGGATTCTTTTGAATTTCACATCTCTATACATCTAACAGCCTCAGATTTCTTTGTTCTATGATGCACTTTGGTATTTCGTCAAAAGGACACCTCCATAATGTAACAGACTCAAGTCCTATTAGGTTTCCTATAAATGAGATGTCACCTAAATACCACCCATCAAGAAATAAGCGGCAAAGATTACTAGTGATGTGCACTAACTAAATTTAACCATTTTGTAGAATGGGCAATTTGGTAGACAAAAATGCTTTACTTGCAAAAATTACAACTTTGGGATCCCCATACCTTTGAAAAAAATCATTTACTACTTTCACATCATGTTTTGTTTTTGAAAGCATATAGAGGGACACGTGAAGAAACTCAAGTTTAGGGCAATCCAATTTATGGAGAAATTTATCAACTTCATCAAACCATAAATATCTTATTATCACATCCTCTTTTAACTGTCCCAAAATCAACCTTTTTTCTTTTTTTTGGGCCATTAATAGATCTACATCATGAACTAAGTCATGCATTTTGATATGTTTATCAACATGTAGCAGCTGACAAGAATTGATTAGCCTTTCTCTTCCCCCCACTTTTACTAATTAAGTGATTTGTGGCCCTTTCAGATGAATGAACTTCTCCAACCAAACCTAGACCTACACCAATGAGTGTTCATTCATAAATTAAAATCTTACAAGGGTGATTTGTCTTTCTCATCGCAACATTTATCTCCTACACATCTACAAGTTTCCATCAAATTATTAATTTTTTAAAATTAAATTACGTCCTTTCATTCAGGCGTTAACCCTGTCACCAGTGCTTTCCTTGCTTTTACTAGTAACTTTATAACAAAAAGAATCTTAAAATTTGAAGTATAAAGAAAATGCTTGCAAGAAATAGTATATAAAGGTTTAGCCAAAAAAGGTCTATGAAGTTTGCCACATGTTTTACGTCCCTGGGTGGTTCTACAATTGATGATTCTATGACAAAGAAAATACTCAAAATAGTCACACTAGTGCCTGTAACCAGAGGCAAAAAAGATGATAAAGAGCAAATACACACTTTAAATCAATGCAGTTGAATCCGAAATGTATTCCACATGTAGTTATATCACAATTCATTGTTAAATAGTCCAATGATTATTGAAATCCTCTTGGACTTAAATGGTATTACAAAAAACAATACTAAGAGAGATTTTCTTGGGCCATGGCTAGCTCAAACTGGCTACACATGACTGACCATTTATGATCAATCTGAAACACTTCTTGTCGAGCATTTGTTTGATCTTCCACCATCTCCAAACTTTCCTTTCTCATGACCTCAATCTCTTTCATAAATTCTATATTTTCTGCAATACATTTCCTTTTCTGCTCTTGTAGACGTGACAGCTCAACCTCATAATCTGTTATTTCTTTATCCAACCAAGTGATATGTTCCTTCAACCTAGCTTTCTTTGCTCGAGCTTCAACCATTGACTTCTGGGTCTTAGATATTCTGGAAACAAGAGCAATGGCAGCCTCTTTCCTTTGAGTTAGTTCTTCTTTGATTCTTTTATCTCTTTCTTTGAGCACTACAAATTCATTGGCAGTAGCAAATGCTTGCTTGAAACAAGATATGATACTAGGAAAATCTTTGTGCATAGACTTTATTAAAGCCTTCACACCATGGGAAAGAGCTATATCTTCCAAAGAAAGACGAGACAAAAAATTGAGAGCAGTTTGCAGGCGAAGACTATTGGCTTCTGAGGCTGCTATGTCCCTAAGAGGCATCTTCAAGTAGTCTTTCAAGTCAACAAGTGCCTTTGCAACAAGCTCATCTTTATCTGTAGCAACTGTACGAATGGCTGAGAATGGTGATTCCCTACCATAATGATCCTCCATAGATTGAAGAAAACTAATGAGATCATCATCTTTGTAGTCTTGAAGATTTTTTAGAGGGATCAACTTGCCATCTTTATCAATATCCAACTCCCTTGGGTTGAACTTGATTTCACTTTGAATCTAATGATAAAAGTATGTTTGAAAAACAATGCATATCAGTCCTAAGCTTGAAAAATAATTTCCATCATGCTGGGAATAAAACCTAAATTTACAAGTTTTTTTCTCAACCCAACTGACTCATTATATCTATGTATTTTTTAACATCCTGTAAAGCAATAAAACCTGTAAGTTTAAGCCAATTGGTACTTGAATTAGTTAATAGAGAGTTGAATTTCTTATGTTTTCCCCTAGAATATTTTCCTTTTGACACTATGCATAACAGAAAAGGTGAGAATGAGTTGCTATCTATTGCTTTGATTTAATGAGGAATTATTTTAATTGTAATTTCAATTTCTTTATTTATTTGTTTTTGGTCCGCTGAACTTGATTGACTGGTTGATATCTCTTTCACCTATTCCTTATAAAGTAAAGATGTAGTCAAAATCAGATAGGTTCATCAATGTTGAGGTACTCATTTGCGAATCCCATATTCAAACAAGCGTATTTAGGACACTCAGTCTCATTTAGTGATTTATATTGAGAAATATCTACAGGATTACTTGTTGATTGCTTACTAATCAATTCGAGATGCAATGATGAAGTTGGCACTAATTCAGATATCTTTAAACTAGGACTTACTTCAGTGATACTCAAAGACACCATATCCAGAAAAGGCATGGTTAAATGATTTCAACGGCAAAAGAAGACAATTAAATGCAACGTATAAGATGGTGAGATGATGGAGTTGACCTTGGCTAAGCTTGCTGGTTCTAAATGAGCTACTGTAGTGAATATTTGAACATTCCTCGATGTAGTACCCTCTTCAACTCTTCCTTGAACACTCTATACAACAATAAAAGATCTATGTAATCTCGAGCCAATAGTGGGTGAACCAATTAATTGTGCTTCTATTACCTTTTCCTTTGATATGTTTTGCTCTCGAGTAGTTTGAACTTTTGACTCTTTCTTATTCTGTATGCCAAGGAGATAATAAATTGCAGCAAATGATAGTTTTTTCCAATACTTTTCATTGAAGAGTAACAATACATAATTTAAAGTATATGTTCAACGGCTAACATTTCATTGACCAGCTCTTCATATAAAATCAATAAATATAGTTTGACTCACAAGAGATTTCTCTTTAAGGCATTGATCACTTACAGTTTCATGAGAAAAAGCAAAAGAATTAGCTATAAATAGCAAAAGAATCATGATAATATGCACTTATCACCTAAAGTTTTGTTGGTCCATTATATAACCTCCTATGAGTGGACCATTAATAGAATTCGAGAGGTTACCGCTTTTGGGACAACATGTTGTATTCTCTACATTTTCCAATCATAATATAGGATACACAGCAGTATATTTTCCAAATCTATTTTAATTATTTATAGGTTCTATCACAATAATAATACTAGAAAGCTTACATGACAATGTATTTTAGGTAGATAAGCAGTTAATAAGTCTGAGAGCAAGCTAGTTAATTTTGAATGAGTTGATAAGATACCATTCTATACATCTACAGGTGTAGAACTTTCTAAACTTCGCTTAATATCTTGCAGCAAAACACATTGTAAATATCTACTCTATGGTATAGAAATCTAAGTTGCATAAGCAGGCCACTATGAGATTGACAAAGATACTAAAAACTTACATGCTGAAGTGCTATAGATAGAGTAGAGGAGCCAATGAGTGAGCTAGTTGCTTCTGAATGAGCTGATGAAGCAACTATCTTAACATTCTCTGATTCAATGCTTCCTTGAACATTCTAAAAAAAGATGGATAACAGATAGATAACATCAAATTATATAGTACTATCTCTTGTCCTTAATATGAGAGGTACATAACTAATTTAGGGAGATTAAGAAAATTAATTAAGTTGGTTATTTGTAATAAATGTGTTGACTTTTCTAAATTACCCTATGTAATCATGTATCTTAGGATTATCCCTTGGTAGAAGCCCCTTATAATTAATAGGGATATTTTGGAGAAAACATCATGAATTTGAAAGACAAAGTAGATTGAGATCTTATATTTAAAATCAAATCTAACCTTCAACTAGCTCTTATATTTTAGACGAAAGGAATAATTTAACAACATGGCAGAGATATAATTACCATTTCCTCTGCTATGTTTAGCTCCAGGGACTTTTCATCTCTTGACTCTTCAACATTCTGTAGATCAGGGAAAAAGAAATAAATTGTAGTCCATAGAATTATGTCCATAATGAGGTGTATTAAGCTTAAGCAACACCAAAAACAGATAATAGTGTATGAAAGCTACACTGAAACCATATTTTCTCAAGGACTGTTTTTAGAAAATCATGTTTTAACCACCCCAAACATGCTAAAAGTATTCAAATAAATAGAAAGCGATTCAATTATAAATATATATATAAACCTTTGCTGATTTTGGTGAGGCAATAGGTGTCAAGTTCTGCTTATTGTTCTGAGCATGTGAAGAAGAAAGAGATTCCATTTGTCTGCTACATTTTTCATTGGATTCAATAATATCTTCCAACACAAACTTTAACTCCCAACGGTCATCCCAATAAGCTGTATCATTAAAAACCAACGAATTATACAAATAAGCATTTGTATGATGATAATTGGATATATATGGCATAATATGAATCCTGAATATTTTGTGTGCCTCTGTCTTCAATTTAGTTTCGTATTTTAGAAGGATATTGATTACAACAAATTTGCCTTGTATGGAGATATATTGTATGTGGATGTACTAAATAGTTTAACCCTAAAATGAATAATTTTCACAATGAATATATATATAGTAGGCAGAATCAACATAGAAATATTAAGGACATAAGTGTTAAGTATTGTATGAGACAGAAGGAAGTGAAGCCTCCATCACTGTCATAAATTTATCATCCAAAATGGGCACGTGCTTGGATTTGTCCATTTCACCCAAGAAACTTGAGCTACTTGGTTAGGATTGGTACAAGCCTATATGCTCTTTATTTTTCTTTTTTTTAATTCAAATATGGGGCTCAACTTTGCGTACCTGCTTTCTCATTATCTAATATTTGTTGCAACTGCCGAGGAGTAATAGTGGAAGTGATATTGAGTCTCGGGCATTGTTGCACTAAAAGGTACCTCACAGTTCGCAAGTCAATCCATCGACCTCCTGTGTTGAGTTTAGGCAGTTGCCACAATATTACATATTCCAAATTTGGAATTAGATTCTCCTTTCTGATCTCTCTTGTCTCTCCTTCCTCATCTCTAAATATTTTCTCTACTTCTGATGCTCCATGTATGAATAAGATCCTTATTTTGGGAAGCACGTGGCTTGTAGAGATAGGAATTACATGTTTCAACTTATGGCAACGTCTGATGAAGATTGCACTTAGATTTGGGAAGACAAGTGGATGAGGATTTGATGGACTTAGACTTTCATCTTCAATTATTTCCTCCAATTCTTCACACTTCTTGATGTCGAGTTCCCTCAATTGTTGCAAGCATCTTGAGGCAGATGTAGGAAAGATAACTTTCAAATTTCTACATTCTTGTATTATTAACTTGCCAAGATTTTGAAGGAGTAAAAAGTCTTTGGGACCCTTCCATATATGGCTCAACTTTGGTAGCTCATGCAATCGAAGGTAGTGCAAACTTGAGGCCACTCGTTGTTCAGTATTAGAAAGCCCTTCTCCATCAAAAATAACTTCTATTTTAGTGTTTTGCACAATAAGTGATTGCAAAGTTTCCAGCGGAGTCACCATTGCCTTATATAGTTCCTGCAAAGTGGTAAAGAAATTATATGAAATGACAAAATATTTAGAGAATTGTGCAATATTTGGATATTTTTACATTTTGCAATGGTGTAAAGCAATATGAATAGAGAAAAGACAACATAAGTGTAGATACTCCCAAACTTCAATATATGTTGCCATAACCCTTTTGCCATCTACTTTATAATGTTCAAATACCAACCGATTGAGGATATTACAGGTGGAAGATTGCCCACACAGAGTATCATATATAAGCTGTTATTTGTTCTTTGTATTATTTAATGGTCAATGAGCTTGAATCAATGAATGCCCCTATTAAAAAAAATTTAAATCACAATAAACACGTGTCATACAAAAACTAGATCATGTAAATATTGCTCACAATATTAAAGTTCTCAACAAGTATAGAGAATGGATGGTACCTCTGATGTTTCATAATCCTTTTGTCTCAGCCCAGAGATAGCAAGCCAGTAATTGATGGACCTGAGGTCTAACTGTGGACATCCTCCCAAGTTTAAGCTTTTCAAAGATGGCCAGGTTGGATGATAATTTCCTTGACAAATGCTAATGATATTTGGCAAGTTGTTGAGAGATAGGTAGCTTAAAGCACAAAACTCTATCAGTTGAAAATTTTCTGGACTTGGTTCTTCGTGAATGGATTGGACAAACAGACTTGTCAATTTATTAGCTCTCCTTATATCCAAAACCTCCAAGTGTGTAAGGCTTTGAGCAAAAGTGTTAGGCATTAAGTATTCTAGCCGAGTGCACTGATAGATGATTAGTGTCTTTAATTTTGGGAATGTCATTTGATATTCACTATCTGCTACAACTATTTCAGTCCCTTCATCAGCTACTATATTCTGAAGTGAATGACAACCACATATATCCAGGACCTCCAAGTTTGCAAAAAGGCCCGAAGGAGGTTGACCATGACATAAAGTTTTCAAACAATTCATCTCTTTGATAGTTAGGTGAGTCAATCTAGAGATAATTCCAAGTTGACCCAAATGATTTCCAATGTCTATCACACATTCTATTTTGTCACAAAAACAAAGTGAAAGTTGAGTCAAAGAATGCATACCTCCTCCTATTGTTTTAAATACATCAGGGATTATATTCTTACAGCTTTCATGAATTCCCCCTAAAGAAAGAACTTCTGCTCTTTGCATGAGATCCTTAATTGTCGCATTTGAGATGCAAGTCTCAAATTCTTCAACGTATAAACTTCTTGTAATAGGAAGTTTTTGCCGTAAAAATCCCCAGAATTTTCCCCCAAATCTATACAGTAACTCTCCAATGCTGGTGCAATATTAATTTCATCAAAGAATTTTGCACATTTTTTCGCCTGGTCCTCCCAATCTTTTCCATAATTTTCACAGAAGTACAATTCTTTCAATTGCCCACATCTTCCAATGACTTTATAAGGATTCATTAGAATATGGCATCTCTCTATATCCAATAATCTCAAGTTCTTATGTTCTATAATGCATTTTGATAATTCAAAGAAATAACAACAGCATAACTTGAGAGACTCTAGTCTTTCTAGACTTCGTAAAAAAGAGATGTCAGCTAATAGCCATTGATTTAGGTACAAGCATCGTAGATTGCTTACCACAGAGAGTAACTTTGACCATTGTAGAACTGATTGTTTTTCAAAATTATTTTCATTTTCAAGAACTAAAACTTTAAGCTTCTTCATACCTTCAAAAAAATCATTGGCTACAACTATAGGGGTCTGAGACTTCACAGAGATGAGAAGAAACTCAAGTTCAGGACACTCTAGCTTATGTGAAAGTTTATCCATTTTATTGATCCATAAGTATCTCAACATATCCCTTGTAATCATATCCTCTTGAAATGCATTTGGACTCCATTTATGTCCCGGGACCAACTTAATCTGTTTCTTTGCCATCCACAAGGCTACATCACGCACCAAGTCATGCATTTTAATAGAAGGCTTTCCACTAACTTGAAGCAACAAACAACAATCTATAAGCTTTGTTTTTGCTTTAATCAATTGGTTTCTGGCCCTTTCATATGAGTGAGATTCAACTAGACCTAGCCCAATTCCATATAGGACTAATTGATCAACTATAATTTCATAATCTTGTGGAAATACAGCACAAAACAAGAAGAGTGATTTGGCCACTTCATCCTTCAAATTATCATAGCTTAACCGAAGGCACGCATAAATGTTTCTTAGATTGTCTTCAATTTCCACCCAACTCGAATCTCTCAATGTTTCCAATGCTTCAACCCACTCAATTTGAGTTTTTCCCTTCAAAGCATTCGCCAAAGCAACAATTGCAATAGGTAAACCATCGCATTGTTTTGTAATTTCTTTTCCCAAACCCTTCAATGTACTAGAGTTGTCCTCAAAGCTCCCAGCATGTTTTTGAAAGAGAGTCCATGCTTCATTCTCATCTAAACCCTTTAAGGAAATAGTTTGTTTGCAATTCATCAATCTGCATACATCAAATTTTCGTGTTGTTATAAGAACAGTGCACCCAGATTGATTTTCAACATCAAGAATCCCTATGGATTTGAAATCAAGCATTTCCCATACATCATCCAAAATTATCAAAAATCTCTTTCCACTTCTCAATCTCATGAACACTCTTCTAGCCCTCTCTGACTCCTCTTCCTCTTTTAATTCCAAACTTAGTTGGCCTGCAATCTGCCCTTGAATTTTCTTAACATCAATGACATTAGAGACAACAACAAAGACAACTTTGTCAAAAAATTGCTCGGCTTCTTGGCCCACTTGCTTCACCAACATCGTTTTCCCACATCCCCCCATACCATGCAATCCAATCATGCGAACTTGATCATCTTTTAGTGCCTCCAAAAGTTCATTGTATGCCCTCTGTCTACTGTCGAAGTGGAGGAAACCTTGTGAAGCAAAATAGTTCATGCCTATGAGGGTAGCGAGTCGAGAGAACTGCGCGAATTGAACTTCACTGTGCCTCCTAATCTCTTTGCTTTTCTCTTCGAGCTGCCTGGCAAAATTATAATGCCTGATAAAGTTACCACGATGCAAAAGACAAGGTGTCTTATTTCTTTTCATTGCATTTTCTTCCAACTCCACGACTCTTGCTATCAAATAGTCTGCCTTGTACAACCACTTATCAACATCACGGACAATCTTCTCAGTTTTCTTGGCTGATTCTTTAGCAAGATCGGTAACACTTTCAATTTTTGATTGCAGGTTCTCTTTTTCCCTTTCAAGCTCTTTAACGTACGTACTGAAGCAAAATAAATAACGAGCTTGACTTACTGCTGCATCCACTAGTTTTTTCACTATTTCAGACACAATAGAGACACCAACTTCCGCCATTTTGAGCGAATAAACCCAATGAAGGTTTAGTATCTGAAATGAAACATTTTTCAGTTCATTAACATCATTCCTATGTGTGTTTGAAAGAGAAGAAATCGCAATTCATGTAAATATATTATGACTTAAAAAGTTAATTTCATCACAATATTTTAAAATCTTCTCAGGTCTCTGGAATTTAGAAAGAAAAAAGAGTGCATACCGTTCAATTTCCAGCAAGATAACTTGAGATGCTCATAATCTTCTCGGAAATTTGATCTTCTTGTAACCCATAAACATGCATAAACACTACTTTTAGTTCTTCTTCTTTTCCTTTCTTGTTTGGCAACGGCAATGAGTAATGCCCCATCACAATTTCAATTTCTAACATTGACATTTCAGGGGTACCCGCTCTCCCAGCTCTAGTCGACATCAAACTCTACGTTTACTTGCTGTGAAAATTACAGTTTCAGATTCAAGATGAAATTGATATTGATATTAATAAATAAATAAAACCTTTGGATAATTGGAAAATGCGGTGGACATTTTTGCCTGTAAGATTTTTTAGAATCATATTTTTTAATTTGTTCCATTTCATATTACGAACAAACCATGATTTTGTTTGAATCTTCCGAAGAAGAAGATGAAAAAGAATCTAGTAATAAGACTAGTCTTTGTTTTTGTCTTTTTTTGTTTTTTTGGTTGGACCGTGAAAACTAGTTCATTTTCCCTCTATTAATAATGCAGATGGTGGGGTTGCGACTGGTCATAGCCTTTCGCTCTTTCGTCCATTATCCCTTATTTTCCTTTTAGTCTATTGGAATTTTGATGAAATTATATAAAGACCTTGATAGTATATTTTGATTCAAGTACTGAGTTTATAAATTTGTTTCACGCATATATGCAAGAAAAAATTGCAAAAATATCGTTTCACTTAAAAGAATTAAATACAAAAAAAGTTCCTTGAAATCATTAAATTATTCTGCAGTTCCAAAGAAAGCAATTTCATTTATTTAATTACCAAATTGTCCTTCTTTTTTTTAAGTATGCATTGACAATTGAAAGTGCAATCATTAACAATTTAAGGTGTAATGCTTAACAACTATTGTAGCAGGTATTAACAATTCATACATTATATTTTTGTGATGTGCTGAGAAAATATATTGTTGATACCTACTACGATAGTTGTTAAGCATTACACCTTAAATTGTTAATGATTGCACTTTCAATTGTCAATGCATACTTAAAAAAAGAAGGACAATTTGGTAATTAAATAAATGAAATTGCTTTCTTTGGAACTGCAGAATAATTTAATGATTTCAAGGAACTTTTTTGTATTTAATTCTTTTAAGTGAAACTATATTTTTGCAATTTTTTCTTGCATATATGCGTGAAATAAATTTATAAACTCAGTACTTGAATCAAAATATACTATCAAGGTCTTTATATAATTTCATCAAAATTCCAATAGACTAAAAGGAAAATAAGGGATAATGGACGAAAGAGCGAAAGGCTATGAACAGTCGCAACCCCACCATCTGCATTATTAATAGAGGGAAAATGAACTAGTTTTCACCGTCCAACCAAAAAAACAAAAAAAGACAAAAACAAAGACTAGTCTTATTACTAGATTCTTTTTCATCTTCTTCTTCGGAAGATTCAAACAAAATCATGGTTTGTTCGTAATATGAAATGGAACAAATTAAAAAATATGATTCTAAAAAATCTTACAGGCAAAAATGTCCACCGCATTTTCCAATTATCCAAAGGTTTTATTTATTTATTAATATCAATATCAATTTCATCTTGAATCTGAAACTGTAATTTTCACAGCAAGTAAACGTAGAGTTTGATGTCGACTAGAGCTGGGAGAGCGGGTACCCCTGAAATGTCAATGTTAGAAATTGAAATTGTGATGAGGCATTACTCATTGCCGTTGCCAAACAAGAAAGGAAAAGAAGAAGATGAATTGTTAATACCTGCTACGATAGTTGTTAATCGTTACACCTTAAATTGTTAATAACTGCTCTTTCAGTTCTCAATGTATACTTTAAAAAAAAAAAGACAATTTGATAATTAAACAAATGAAATCTCTTTCCTTAAAACTTCAGAATAATTTGATAATTTCAATTGATCTTTTTATACTTAATTTTCTTAAGTATGACCTTATTGCAATTTCCCTATATGTAACTTAAATAATTAGTTCATTTTATTAGCTCACTCCACTCACTTCCATCCATTTTTTCACAAGTGTTCGCGTAATGATCTTGATATGAACACACCTCAAAAGAAGCAAAAGAACAGAGAAAAATTGAAATGCAGAATCAGATATTGAAGCTAAACTGAAATTTCATATCGAAATGCCTATAACAGCTATATATATATATATATTGACGTATAAATATGTGAGGTAAGATTCCGGAGTTACAGGCAATATAATACGATTCTGGTCCAGAGAATAACAGTTACATAAAACTTAGAAGAGGTAGAAGAAGGCCACAGAAAAAGGCAGAGAAGGATTAGGCAACAACTTTTTCTATGACCCTACTCAATCCATAACTTCTCTACATATCCTCTCAAGCCTCTGTTCCTTCCTTCCCCTTCTGGCTCAAAACTTCTTAGTCAATCATATGCAAAATTTGGTCCATTACAATATCATTATAGATTGAAGAAATGATGGATTATAAGGATCAAATCATAGGATTCAATTTTTATAGAAATTTCTTTTTTGGAAACATACAAACATTTCTTGCATAACCATCAATTACCAAATGAGCTTCTAAACATGGAATATTATGCGATCCAAATATTTAACTTGAGAAATTTATTTCAAGTAGATAGCTTATTAAATAAGCTATTAACTGGATTACAGAACACATATTCCATAAGTTGCCGTACCACAAATAAATAGTCCAACGATTATATAAAGGCATCTCAAACTTCATTTGAATTTTCTAAGTAAACAAAAGAAGCTTTAAGAGATAACAATTCAGTATCACAATCTATTATCTCGTAGCCAAGCTATGAAAAGAAGCAGGATTGGTGATAGCAATCTCACAGTGCAGACAGCAAGGGTCCCAGGCCAGCACTGCCCCTGAGATTTTTTTTTTAAAATGTAAATCCAAATAAATTAGAAAATAGAATAAAGTACGAATCCTAATTCAAAGAACAACGAAGAATATAATCTCAAGTCCTTCTGTTCTATAATGCATTTTGATAATTCATAGAAAAAAAGACCACCCCAATTTCAGAGACTTGAGTCTTTCTAGGCATCGTAGAATATTGTTTACTACAGGAAGTAACTTCGACCACTACAGAATTGATTGTTTACCAGAACTTCTTTCATTTTCAAGAACCAAAACTTTAAGCTTCATCGTATCTTCAAAAAAAATCATTGGTTACATCTATCGGGGCCTCAAACTTTGTTGACATGAAAAGAAAATCAAGTTATCCATTTTATTGATCCATAAATATCTCACTGTATCCCTCATTTTCATTTAGCCTCCTCATAAATTTCTAGAAAACACTGAGAGCTTTAATCAATTTCTCCAATATTAGTGGGTTAATTGAATGATCCATAGAAAAGATCAAGAATCATAATATATACAAGATCATACCTAAATGGATATACAGTAAAAGGGTCATAGACGAAGAAAGGCAACAACAAAACCAGACCACATACTAACCTACGTATGGAGCTTAATTTCGATCTTCTCCAAACGAAGCCACCAAATTAAACCTCAGTACACCCAGAAGCCAGAAAGTAGCAGTGATTTCTCTCTCACACACATCATAATATGAAGAGAATGGATAAAACCTGTCGTAATACATTTTGGCTTGTTTCAGAGGATGTGATATGATATAAAACCCTGCAACCATATATCGCTATTTGAAAGAATCTTCTCTTTATCAGTAGGGCCCTAGGATCAATGTAATTATAGTCATCACCAAACTACAATTTGTTTAACGTCTTAATTCATTGTTATTATCTTCTTCTTCTTTTTCATGGTACTTATTTGTTTTTTTCCTAAGAACATTTGCATAATTTCTTCTTCGGATGGAACGAGAAAATAGTAGTAACCTCCCTCTCTCTATCTCTCACTCTTCCAGTATAGAGACTTGAATAATTGAGACCTTATTCATACCAAGTTTCTCTTTTTCATTCAATCGTCTTCAAAGTCATGCTTTATTAATATAATGCAATTTTAAAGCGAGTTGTTGAAATGATATGATGATATTTTGTCCAAAGAACAAATTAAAGAAATCACACATCGCACAATGTATTACTGAGGTCCTGTTTGCTACGGGGGAAATGAGGGGAGGAGAGGGGGAAAAATTTTTTAATGAGCTCTATTTAAAAAATTGAAAAACTGGGGTTTTGAAATTTTAACAAAGAGAAAAAGTAATATAATAGAATAATAAAAATTAATTAAAAACTTTTGACCCCATTTTTAATTTTTTAAATTGAGCTCATTGAAATTTTTTCTCTCCCCCCCTCCTCTCATTTTCCTTCATACCAAACAGATTATAAGAGTGTTTAAAGCCTCTCTTAAAAAATTTTAACGTCTTCCAAAGGATAATATATAATCCTCTGATCCTTAATATAAAATCCATTTAACTAATTTGATTAGATTAAGAAAGTTAGGTAAATTAGTTAATTATAAGAAATGTGACACTTTTTTTTTTAAATACTATAATCATCTTTCTTAATACCCCCCTTCCTCTTCTACTTGATTGTGGTTGACTGAGTATCTATAAAGGTAATTTAGAGAAAATTGACAAATATAGTAACTGGGTCTTATATTTAGGACCAAAACTAACTCAACAATTAAGTCTTATATTAAGAACCAGAGGAGTAATATAAAACCCAGCAGTAACATACGGCCACCTGAAAGAATCTTTATTATAAGCAGGGCCCTAACAGTGCAGAGTGATTACCAAATTACATTTTTTATAATATTATCTTTCCATAATTTTCCTTAAAAGTCACTGCTATTATATATCTTTTCTGAGCTTTTTATATTTAGTTTTAGAATTAATATAATTTTTGGTACTTTAAAATTGTTTTTATTTCGGTTTTGATCTCTCAAATTTTCTTTCATTTAAAACATTTGTCTTTGTGATCTAATAAAAATTTGGATCATTTTACCTCTTGAGAGACTAAACCCAATGATTTGGAACTTGAACCAAAACCAAAATTAGGACAAACTTAAAAGACCAAAAGTTATATAAACCTTTAGTTTTATATGAGTGGTGTTTCCCGTCTTTTTCCTTCCCTCATTATCAATTCTTCATGGCCCGCTCACTACTTCCCCTTGTCCACCATTGCATTAATCTATAGCTTCTTTAATTTGTTTTTTCTTGGCCTTTTTTGTTAATGCTCTGAAACAACTACGAGCATTATTTTTCCAAAATCAACAGTATATATGTACTCTTTCTTATCCCGTTGTAGGCCCAATTTTTTTTTAATCCAGAAAAAGAAAAGGAATCAACGGTGTGTTAATTCAGCACCATAATCATCCTCCATATATTGAAGTAAACTGATGAGATCAACATCTTTCAAGTCTTGGATATTTAAAATCACAGTTGCCTTCATGTCTTCATCAGTATCTTTATTACTCCCTTTGCTTCATTTGACATTTAATCTCACAAGATAAAAAAAACATATTTTGAACAATGCATTGGCCTCTAACCTTTGACAAAAAAGGTACTTCACAAGTTTATAAGGCCAAGTTGGTTTGAAAGCCTCTGACCTTTAGGTTTTATTTAATAATAGAAGGAAAGAGAGACAGAGCTTTTCATAGTGATTTCTAATTCTCTAGTTATTAGATACACATGCATTTATGATTTAAACTCCTATATACTACTTCTGATCCTTAATATAAGATCCAGTTAACTAATTTAAAAAAATTAAGAAAGCTACTAAATTACTTTAAACTATTTATATTTATTGTTTTTTTCAAGTTAATTTGTCTCACTTATAAATTGATATGTAGTCTAATGATCCGCAAAAGTATTTTAAAGAGATCATGTAATATATACAATAATTAAATAATTTAGTAATTTCATTAATCTCTTCAAATTAGTTAATTAGATCTTATATATTAAGTATCGGAGGTATTAGTTAGCAAGGAAACTTTCCCACTTTACAAATTTTATGATTTTCCTCCCTTGTAATCCCATTCTGTTTTAGTTAAGAATTAAACTCCGATATAGGAATTCAAGTTGAATATTTGAAAACATAACACCATCTGAGAATGCTCATTACTATTAATCTCCCAAATTTTATATCTGGATAATTGCACGGCCTCTCATAAGTGTGTATTAATCCAAGGAAACAATAAGAGAAATTAGCTTGCACAGGGAAATGCTTCAGGCAGAGAAGTAACTGATGTGTCGAAGGGTGAGTTTGCCAGTTCCAAGTTTTTGAACACACTGCCCAGCAACAAAAAGATACATAAATTTGAGCTCTTAAGGTTTAGAATCAGATGACATAGTTTTTTACATTTTTTTCTCTGATGTGTTTCTTTCTTGGACTCCTTGATCTTCTGTCTTTGCAGCACCCTGCATAGTAGAGAAAAGTGAGAGCAAGTAATAATCTACAGCATCATGCATGATCACATCAGTTGATGTAGTAACTAATTTAGCATTCTCTGATATATAGGACCTTCAAAAAGTATTTAAGTTTGCAGAACATATTTGATTTCCTGGTAGGTCCAAAAGTAATGTATATTCCAAATTTGGAATCACATTGACACTCTCCGTCTTCCCTTCTAGATCGTCTCCATTAATTTCAAACACTTGCTCTAGTTTATTATCAAGAAACTTAGTTAGCTTGCAATCTTGTTCTGAATTTTTCTTGCATCCATGGCACTGGACAGGAACACAAAGACTAGTTCATCAGGAAACTGCTCTGTTATTTAAATTCCAGCATTAGAGATAGAGAGTATGCTCCATACAACCATTTCTCAACTTTCTTTGCATCTTTGGCTCGATCTACAGAAAATTGTGATTGCAAGTTCTTTTTCTGTTTAAACCCCTTAACGTAATTGTTGATATCGAAAGGATAACAAGCTTCAAGTATTACTTCATCTACTAACCTGTTCAGGACAGCAGTTGCAACAGACACTGAAAGCACATTTAATATAACCAAAACAATGTTTGAAATGTAATTTGAAAAATAAAAATAATCAGTTCACATTATGCTACAGGTAATGAAAACTTAACATGTTAAAATCAATGAGGTACGTATGATAAATCATTTAATTTCAAAATATTCCCATAAGAAGAATATGGCAAGCTATATACCTAGATATATACGGCACACACGTGCTTGCTTTGCCCTTAATTTCAAGAGCTTATTTACTGTTTTAATTCACTTTAAATTCACACACACACACATTTTGTTAATGTTGCACTATGTATTTTACTGTACCCAAGTAACAGACAACATGTAAAATAAAATTATGGAAAATTAATACAGAAAAATTGTAAAAATATTAATACACTTCAAAATAGTTCCATGCTGGTATGCCATGGATGCATGGAGGCTATCTGAAGAAAAACAATTCTAAGCTTGACCTTGATTTGAAGGATCTGTTAATTCAAGTTTCCAATTTGATTGTTTAGCTCTGCCTTCTGATTCAATTGATCCCTGTGAACTTCCCAAATTTTTGGATGATCAGGTTCCACAATTGAGACAGCAACACAATATCAAATGAGGAAAGGTTAAGGAGCCAGCTTTATGGGATGGATGACTTTAGACCTCTGGTGTTGAATGTAATGCATTTACAATAATATTATCTTGAATCTGATCATTGAAAGGGAGGATGTTAGGGGGATAGCTGAAAAAATAAAAATAAAAATAAAAATTCAACTTGCATTTGAATATTAGAGGGTTAGCTAAAAAAAAACTCAGATAATAATTTGTTGTTAACAAGAAGTATGACAACGTTCAAATGGCATTCCAAACATAAGCATTTTAAATTTCTTATAACATGGTAATCTTCTGGTTCTAAATATAAGACCCATTTTGTAATTGCACTAAAATTGGTCTTATATTAAGGATCGGAGGAGTATATAATATAATCTTATTGTATTTTCAAACATGCCCTCCTCATCAGATTCCGCAGCTGAGTTATTTTCCTGCTCCAGTTTCACCCAACTCCAATAGCCCAATATCAAAAATTTGTTGCCCACCAAATAAATCTCAATCAAAAGCCTGACATGAAGAATACAAATATGATAATCACCAAATCTTAATCTTGAATAAAATTAAAATTTAACCCACATTTCAGGAAAGAGATAAAGGAATGAACAAGAATTACCAGGAAAAAAACAGCAAAACAGAAAGAATTAAAAGTTCCAAGATTTGTTCACATAATACCTAAATCACACAACAAGGGAAAGAAAAGACCAAAGACAAATTTGTGATTCACAACATGAACTCCCCTGCACGGTAACTTGATGAAGACAGGCAAGTCTGATCGTTAAAAATGAGCAAAGCAGAGGTTCATGAGGATCCCAAGAGATTAGTGGGAAAACTAAGTACTTAAGTAAACTTCCATGAACTATACAAGAAGAGAAGAGACACCAGTCTCTATCTCCAGTTCTACTAATAAAATCATTAAACACTACCTTGTCCTCTTTCTAAAAACCATGAGCTAAAGCCAAATCACGGTAGAACTTTAAAAAGGATCACTCTCTTTGGAAAATATCACCATACCTTTTATCAGAAATTATAATACTACCTCCGGTCCTAATTATGATAGATTCTCCAACATTTTTCTCTTAGCCAAGCTATGCAAAGAAACAGAATTGGTAGCAAGGGTGTCGGGCTATTCCTAACCTTCCCTCTTCCATACCACATCAGAGAACCCAAAATAATACTCCTTTTGTCCGTAACATAAGATTTAATTAACTAATTTGAGTACATTAAGGATATTAGTTAAATTAGTTAATAAGATATATTTTTTTTAAAACACCCTAGTGTCTTTCTTAATTTCGTTCCTTTCTCTGCTACTTGATTATTGTTGGAGAGGGTTCACTTGAGAAAAAATTGATAAATATGTAAAATAAGTTTTACATATAGGACTAATATTAACTTCCTAGTTAGGTCCTAGATTAAGGACCAGAGGAGTAGATTTTTTTTAAAAAAAAATATAAATCCAGATAAATTAAAAAATAGAATAAAGTATGAATACTAATTCAAAGAACAGAACAATGACGAATGTAGTCTCAGGTAATTCATAGAAACAATACCACTGTAATTTGAGAGAGTTAGTCTTCCTAGGCTTTGTAAAGAAGACATGTCAATCAATGCTCATTTCTATGGGAACAGACAGTGGAGATTGTTTACCGTAGGGAGTAACTTTGACCATTGTAGAATTGATCCTTTATCAGAATTATTTTCATTTTCAAGAACCAAAACATTAAGCTTCTTCATACCTTCATAAAATTCATTGGTTACATATATTGCGGTCTCGACCTTCACGGAGATGAAAAGAAACTTGAGTTTGGAAAACTCAAGCTTATGTGATCCATTAATATGTCATTGGATCCCCCATATGACTATCCGGATCAAATCATAGGATTCGCGACTCATGGAAATTTTTTTTATTTTTTTGAAAAGAAACATACAGACATTTCTTGCAAAACCATTAACTATCAAATGAGCTTCCAAGCACGGAATAAGATTCACCCAAGTAATTAACTTGTAAAATTTAGTTCAAGCCTTCAACGAGATAGCTCATTAAATAAGCTGTCAACTAAATTACAGAACATAGATTCCACAGAAACTAATAGTCCAACAATTGTATTAAAGCCTCTCAAACTTTATTTGGTCTTTCAAAGTAAGCAGAAGAAGAATTAAGAGAGGTTTCTGCTAGCAATTTTCTGCTCAAACTGGCTGCCTAAGACTGACCATTTATGATCAGCCTCAAACAATTGTTGCCGAGCATTTCTTTGATCTTCCACCATCTCAGACTTCTCTTTTCTCACAGTCTCAGCCTCCTTCTTGAACTCTTCTGTTTCTGCAATATACTTCCTCTTTTGCTCTTGAAGAGACAACATTTCAGCCTCACAATCTTTTCTCTGTTTCTCCAACATAGAGATCTGCTCCTTCAGCCTAGCTTCCTTCTCTTCAGCTTCATCCATAAACCTCTGGGTCTTGGACATTTTGGAAAGAAGAGCAATAGCAGCCTCCTTTCGTTGAGTTAGCTCCTCCTTGATCCTCATATCTCTTTCTTCAAGGTCTGCAAATTTATTGACAATGGCAAATGCTTGCTTGAAAGAAGACAAAATGATAGGAAAATCTTTATGCATAGATTTTATCATAGCCATAACTCCACGGGATATAGCTCCATCTTCCAAGGAGAGGCGCGACAAGAAGTTGAGAGCTGTTTGTAGACGAAGACTATTGGCTTCTGAGGTTGCTATGTCCTTAAGAGACATCTTCAAGCAGTCTTCCAAGTCAGCAAGGGCCTTTGCAACAAGCTCATCTTCAGGGGCAGCAACAGCAGAAGCAGACGATATTGGTGATCTACCACCATAATCATCCTCCATAGATTGAAGCATATTGATGAGATCATCAGCTTTCAAGTCTTGAGGATTTATCACAGGAATCACCTTCCCATCTTTTTCAACATCTGACTTCCTTGGGTTGAACTCGATTTGACTTTGAATCTAATAACAAAAAAGTGGATTTGAAAAACAAAACATGAGACTAAGCTTCAACAGCAATATTTTCCTTTCTACAAAGATATAAGCTGCATATACAAGTCTTTTTAACTCATTATCAAACCATGTATCATTTTAAAAGCAATATATATCAATCTTCTCTTCGATCCTCATATCATTGCCAACGATTCTGTAGCCACAAGATCGTGAATCGTGACTATGTATAAGACTCAGACAGTTTTGTGAGTGCCAACAAAAGATATCACGTTTGGGTCAAGAAAAGTATTAGAAAGCTTACATGTGGAATTGTGTTTGTTGAGGAAGTAACTAAGGTTCCTGGCAGCAAGCTTGCTAATTTTGAATCAATTGATGAGGTAGTTATCTTAGCTTTCTCAGATGACAGGGAACCTTCAAAGCTTCCTTTAACATCCTGTAGAGGAATAAATCATCACCTATAAGGTTTACGTATTCGGTGTTTAAATTAGCTTGTAGAGAGTTGAATTTTATCCCTACATTTTCCTTTAATAGGGTTTCCTTTTGAGTACTCTGACCTTCCAGATCTCTAACATTCTACATAGCTCAAAAAGAAGAAAAAGGTGAGAATAAGTTACACCATATACATGAATCACGCGTGCATTTCTATGATTTCATGAGGAATTACTTTTTTCAAAATTTCAATTTCCACAAGTGATTGTTGCTGGTCCTTCAAAACTGACTGACTGGTTGACATCGCATTGACCAACTCCTCATATATAAAAATAATTGAACGTATGGCGAAAATCAAATAGGTTAGTCTTAACAGGGAACTTAGTCACAAATACTTTTATAGTCTTGAGGCTTTTAGGACACTTACAGTTTCATCATCAGGCATTTTAGGGAGAAATATATCTACAGGATTACTTGTCGATGGCTCGCTAATCGATTGAGGAAGTAAATATGAAGTTGGCATTGCAGCAGATATCTCTGAACCAGGCATTATTTGATTGATACTCTGAGACACCATATCCAACAAGACATTGTTAACTAACGTCACGAGCAGAAGAAAGACAAAATCATTAGATGTAAGAGAGTAAGATAGTTAGGTTGACTTTGGTTGAGCTTCCCGGTTCTGAATGAGCTAATGAAGTAACAATCTGAACATTCTCTGATGTAGTACACTCTGCAACTCCTCCTTCAACATTCTACACCATGTTAAAAGATAGTCAATATCAACTGAACCAATTGCTTAACATGTCTCGCTTTTGTGTACTTTGATCTTCTAACTCTTTCTTATTTTGTAAGCTGAAAGAGTGAATAAATTGCATTCTAGATCATATATTATATATAATGATGTCCATTAAGCATGGGCAATACCAAATCCAAAAGATATAACAGATTTGCCAGGGCTTCAAGTAAGAAATGGAAGATATATGCATACCTCTGTAAAGTTTGGTGAAGTAATGAATGTCAACTCCTGGTTATTGCTCTGTTGGGTGGTTTCTCTCTCGGAATAGGAGTCAATAATATATTCCAACCACCCCAAAAACCCAAGAAGAGGATATGCTATCGCATAATCAAGGACAAAGAAATTATTTAAAATAACAATTGTATGCAAATAAATTATATCTATTTGAAAAAAAATATTATTTGAAGTAGATAAAATATTGATGTTGAATATTATATATAAATATACAAACTTAATTTTAAGCACACTTGAAGTATGTAAGAAGTAGAAAATCTAATTGAACTATATACATGTATTCAGTTTAGAAAGATGGCTATATATCATGTCAACAAAGCAAGTAATATAAATGTGTGTATGTGTATATGTACAAATACTATTGCACATGCAAACATGATGCTACTATAACATTCAAGTTATGAAGTACCTTTTGTCAATTCGTCGAGCATTTCTAGAGGAGTAATAGAGGAAGTGAGAGATAGTTTGGGACATTCTAGCGCAACAATGTGTGTCACATTTTGAAAAGCGATGGATGGAGCAATCGAAGTGAGTGAGGGAAGCTTCCAAAGTACAACATATTTCAATGCTGGAGTGACATCCTGGTATGTGTGTGTTGTGTCATCTCCAAATACTTGGTCTAGTACAGGTGCATCTTCTATGGACAGTGCCTTTAGATTTGGGATCACTCCGCATGTAGAGATCTTAGGGAATACGGATTTCAACTTATGGCAATATTTGATCATTATTGAAACAAGTCTTGGGAAGACAAGTTGTGGAGAGGTTGACACATTTTGATCGTCTTCTTCAATGATTTTCTCCAACTCATCACAGCCTTCAATGTGAAGTTCCCTCAGTTGCGGGAGGTCTTTCAAGATGAATGAAGGGAATACTTCTTTCAAATTTCCACACTTGAATAGTTTTAACCATTGAAGATGTTAAAGGAGTAAAGAATTTTTGGGACCCCTCCATATATGCCTTAATTTGGGCAGACCAACCAAAAAAAGATCATATAAACTCAAGTTTATTTGTTGTCTATTGATAGGAAGCTGTTCTACATCAAAAAAAAAACTTCTGCTTCATCATTATGTGAAACATGTAGTCGCTGTAAAGTTTCTTGAAAGGCCACAACCACCTTTGATTGGTCCTGTAAAGGTGAAAAACAAGTCAAATGTAGTAATTAAAATTTGAAAATTATAGCGTCACCCGGTATAGACAATTAACAAATTAATATTATAGAAAAATTAGATAAGTACACATGCTGTGATTATATTAAATTAATATGACTAGATAAAGTTTCTTTCACGAATAGTGAGTATATAGTATGGTAATATATATAAATTTAATACTCTTCCAGTTCTTAATATGAGACCTATTTAACTAATTTGATTAGATTAAGGGAGTTAGGTAACTAGTTAATAATAAAAAATATGATAGTTTTTTTCCTAAAATACCATAATCATCTTGCTTAATATCCTCTCTCTCTCTTCTATTTGATTATGGTTGAGAGAGATCCATAGAGATAATTTAGAAAAAATTGATAAATATGAGAAATAGATCTTATATTTAGGACTAAAATTAACTCAATAATTAGATCATATATTAAGGACTAGAGGAGTATTTTTTATATTGATGATGATAGATTATATGAATGGTCTTAGAAACTTAAAAATGAAAGAATAATACCTCAGAAATCATCTGATCATCCTCTTGTCTCAATCCACCATATCCAACCCGATAATTGGTAAACTTTATATTTAACCGTGGACATTGATATGAATCCAACAATTTCAAAGAAGGCCACGTCAGATGATAATTTTCAGGACATATACTAATGATATTTGGCATTTTCCTAAGTTGAAGATACTCCAGAGCAGAAAACTCAATCATTTGAGGCCTATTTAGATTTAAGCCTTCATAAAGAGATTGGCCAAACACACTTCTTAATTCATCACTTCCAGCCACATATAAATGTTCCAAATGTGTAAGGCTCTTTGCGAAAGAGATAGGCATTAAGTATTCTAGTTTTTTGCAATCCGATATTATAAGTCTTTTCAATTTTGGGAATGCATTTTCATAACTTTGATATTCACTTCCATCAACTATTTCTTTCTCATCTTCTGTCAGTACCTGCTCAAGCGAATCACAGTTTTTTATATCAAGTTCCTCCAAGTTTGCAAAAAGGCCTTGAGGAAGCTCACCACTATTCAAAGTCTTCAGATTCTTCAGCTTTGAAAGAGCTAGACGAGTCAAATTGGAGATGAATCCAACTTGACTTGGATTAGCTACATAGCCTATCACGCATTCTATCCCATCGGATTCAAGAAGTTCAAGGAGAGTCAACTCATTCATACCTCCTCCTATTTTTTGCCACAGGTCAGGAATGATATTTTTGCAACTACTAAGGATTCCCCTCAAAGATAGAGTCTTTGCCTGTCTCATCATATCCATACTAGTTGCAGATGAAATACAATTCTCGAAGTTTTCAATATATAAACTTCTTGCAACAAAAGGATGACAATAAGATGCACTTGCATGAACCCAAAAATCTTCATCATTACTGCCAAAATGTATGCAATAACTCTCCAATGTTGATGTGGTAGTGCTGATTTATTCAAAAAATTTAGCACTATTTTTATTTTGGTCTCCCCAGTCTCTTCCACTATTGCCACAAAAATACAATACTTCCAATTGGGAACATCTTCTCATTACTTCAAAAGGATTCCTTTCAATTGTGGAGCTACATAAATCTAGAAATCTCAATTTTTTTTGTTGTATGATGCATTGTGGCAATTCATCAAAAGAACAACCCCAGATGGTAAGAGACTCAAGTGTTTCTAAGCTCCCTATAAAAGAGATATCACCGAGTACCCAACAATATAGCATTAGGCAACACAAATTTTTTATCATGGGGAATAAAATGGGTAATTGAAGAACCATTGAATCTTTTCCAAGGTAATTAGTATTTTTAAGAATCAAAACTCTGAGCTTCTCCGTGCCACTAAAAAAATCATTATGTATAGTCACACAAGGGTTTGAGTATATGGAGACATAAAGAAACTTAAGTTCAGGACAACATAACTTGTTAGGATATTTATCAACATCTTCAATGCATAAATATCTTACTGCATGGTCCTCCATTATCATATCCTCTTTTAATTGTCCCATAATCAACTTATTCTCCTTTTTTGCTATCCATAGAGCTACATCACGAACCAAGTCATGCATTTTGATGCAATGACTTCCATCTTCACCATGAACTTTTAGTAGTAAACAAGAATCTATAAGCTTCTTTATGGCTTTATTCATCACTTTTATCCTTGCCCAATATGAGGGAATCTCTCCAGCCAGACCCAACCCTAGTCCAATTATGGCTAAGAGATCAATTTCAATTTCAGAATCTTCTGGATACACGGAACACAATGTAAAAAATGATTTAGGCACTTCGTTATCTAAATTATCATAGCTTAGTCGAAGACATCCATAAGTACTTCTTAGACCTTCTTCAATATCTACCCACTGTGGATCTCCCAATGTTTTCAATGCATCAACCCAGTCGTCATAAGGTCTATCCTTTAAAGTACTGGCTACTGCTGCAATTGCAATAGGTAAACCACAACATTCTTTTATAATTTTTTGTGCTATATCCTTAAAGGATTCAGAGGAGTTGTCAAATAACCCAGTATGCTTTTGAAAAATTAAAGGGCCCAGGAATCATCCCCAGTTAAACATTCCAAGTGAATTGTTTTTGCACAATTCATCAATTCACATACATCAAATTTGCGTGTGGTTATAAGAGTAGTACAACCCATTTGATTATTAGCAGTAGGAATCCCTATATCCTCAAAATTCAGCTTCTTCCATATGTAATCCAGAATGATCAAAAACCTTTCACCACTGCTCAATCTCATGGACAAGCGCCTAGCTCTCCCTTGTGTCTCTTCCTCTTTGAATTCCAACTTTAGTTGGCTGGCAATCTCGCTTTGTAGTTTTCTTACATCAATGGTATTGGACAAAACCACAAAGACTACTCTGTCAAAAAATTTCTCTACTTCTTTGCCCACTTCTTTCACCAAAGTTGTTTTCCCAGACCCGCCCATGCCACACAATCCTATCATATGAATCTTATCATCCTTAATAACACTCAAAAGGTCCTCATAAGCTCCCTTTCTACTGTCAAAGGCCACAAAATCTTGTGAAGAAAAGTAGTCCATGCCTACAAGTGAAGTAAGTCGAGAAAACTCTGAGAATTCAACTTCATTGTGCTTTCTAATTTCATTTAGCTTCTCTTGAAGCTGCTTTGCCAAATTATAACGACTAATCAAGTTTGGACAACGCTTAAGACAAGGCATCTTGTTTCTTTTCTTTGTTTTCTCTTGCAGCTCCACCACCTTCGCCATCAAAGAGTCTGCTGCATCCATCCACTTCTCAACTTTACCAACAACCTTATGACTATTCTTCCTCACATCTTTAGCACGATCTAGAACCTCTTGTATTTTTGATTGCAGGTTATCTTTTTCCGTTTCAAGCTCTTTGACATACTTGTTGAAGTGGAAAGGATAGCAAGCGTGAGGTATTGCTATATCTACTAACTTGGTCAGTATATTACCCGTCACAGAAGCAGCAACATCCATTGCCACTGAAAACACACAATGTAGCCCAGGTATATATGGTGACGATATAACTTTAAAACGCCATGAAAATAAATAATTGGTATTTTACTTAATTAAACAGAGAATTATATAGGGCAACTTTAATTATACGAAAAGTTGGCGCCTGTGTCCACTTTTCAACTGAGTCCCTAAAGTCATTATGTTTGTAATTTTTGTAGAAAAGATCATTAATGGATATTATGAAACAAATAATGACAGCACAAGGGCAAGTTGAAATGAAGAGGTGCATGTGGTAATTATCGGCAGGAAAAGATATTTTCAGCAAATAATAATAATAATGGGAAAATTAGTTGTTAAGTCTCCATAGTTTTAACTTAATTACAATTTAATCATTAAAGTTTAACTCCGTGCAATTCAATTTTTCACGTTTTAGCCGTTTATCTGTTAGTGCCTGCATTTTATGGCTCGGTCACAACTTATTCCATAAAAGAGTGGATGATTTGCTGGTAGTGTAGAGACCAACCAATTAAATGGTTGAAATTTAAGTGATTGATTTGAAAGAGCTCAACTTAACTAAATTTTAATCAACTTGAGATTATAGAGATAAAATAATTAATTTTTTCAACAATAATTTATGGAGTTAAATATTTTTTTTGAGTTACAAGGAGTAGACTCAAACCCACAACATGCACTCCACACACAAACACATACCACTCGACCAAACAGCGAGTGGTTACTACACCCTTCATTTCATTTTAGAAGAAACAATTTTTGAGTATCACATGTTTACCATTTATGAGACACACTTAAAAGTTCTTTTCAATTTTTTGTTAATTTCTTAGTTTGCTCCCACTTAATTACTGGCCTTAATCTCATTACATTTATTAAGATAAATTATTTAGATGATAAATTCTCTCTCTTACGCTCTCTTAAGGGTATTTATGAAAAACGTTATATTTCTATATATTTATTATATCTAACTAATTTTAATCAAGTATTTTTATCAACGTTATTTGATCAATTATCTTTTCATAAAAGTAACGTTAGCAAGCTTTAGCACTTTCCTTCTCCTGGCATAAATTTATTACTCTAAATCATAAGATATTTTTGATATTGCTGTAATTATAAGTTTTTGGATAAAGGTGCATTTAGAATCCCCACATTTTTTGGAGGTAAACCCAGCATCTGGAAAATTTTGAGGTGCAGTGTTGCCCCATATATTAAAAACGGAGCAATTCTACCTCTCCCTAACAGAAAGATAAAGGGATGTGAAGCCCACTGACAGATAAGCATCATATTTTAATAAAATAATGGCATGTAATTAATTAAAGGTTTAAGATGTAATTTTGACAACTAAGTTTACATTAAGGGAGTCCCTTAAAGGGGCATAAGGCACCATAATTTTTTTTTGTCACAAAAATATACATGAAGTTATAAAAAAAAAAATAGAATAAAAATGCCATTAACGTCTTTATAGTGCCCAATGCTCATTAGTTTTAATTTTGTTGCTAAAAACACACCTTAAACCTAATTTTGTGGGCCCCACTAACAGAAAAGTAACAGACATCAACCGTATTGTTATTTTACCTCCTTTTAAAACAGAAAATTTTATGTATATTTTTGTAATAAAAAAACTTTAAAATGCCTAGCATCCTGTGGTGTAAATTTAGTTATTAAAATTACACCTTAACTCTTAATTAAAATGCCCCCTGTATTTAGAAAAAGGGCTTGCATTTACACGAGTTAATCTGAAGAGGCCTTCAGTAGCACACTACCATTTTTGCCAACGAGTTCTCCCCAGTCACAAGCCTAAGCCCCAGTCGATAACAGATTAACCCTTCCCCCCAATCCCAAAAAAACACAGGTGGCATTTTAATTAAGGGTAAAGATGTAGTTTTAATCCTGATTTTCTTTCTCATGTGTAATTTTGTTTCCAATCTTTTTAGCTGTACAATTTTAACCCTAATCTTATTTCTTACGTATAATTTTATCCCTAGTCTTTGATTGTACAATACCAAAAAAAAAAAAAAGATAAAGAGTAAAATTGCATCTTAAAAAAAATCAAGAGTAAAACTTAACATGAGAATTGATATCAGAATTAAAATTACACCTTTACCTGATTATTTTTCTGTTAGTGAGGGGTAAAATTGTTTCATTTTTAACAGAAGCAAATTGCATTACTAAATTTTTTACTGGTTGCACCTCCAAAAATCTTTAGGAGTCCCAACACTTTATTCTAAGTTTTTTTAATAAAAAAAAGACATGGCGGACAATGCCAAATAAAAACAACCTTACCAATCTGACTGATGGAAATTCTGCAAATGTTGGGCTTGGTTATGTTTCTTCTCCAGATCTGAACGCAGCAAGAAACAGAAGCACCCAGTAATATCAGTACACCTTCCAGATAAGAGATATTCATAAAAGAGACTTTGTCGACCTCAACTAATCAAGCCAAGCTTCTTCTGTTTTTCCCTCTCAAAAGATTTTATTAACTCTTGCATCAATAGCAATATTTGGAGGAAAAAATATAAATTTAAATAAAGCTGATTGATCTTATACTAGTTTTTATATGAAAGACCAAAAGGAGATAGTATTAAATAGCAATAACTGAAACGCAAGAATAATTAACAAGAGAACGCAGAAGCTTACCTCTCTGTTTCAGAGGGAATCCTAGTTTCCAAGCAAGCAATTACACGCAGAACTGGCAATAATCAGAGTGAGATATGAGATGAAAATGAGAACAATAATGGCATCTACTTTTGAAAAGAAGGACCATACAATGTGAGAATTTCTTGCGCATTAGGCATCAGCATCTACTTTTACGAAAGAATCACCCATTATCAATGAAGCATCTTTCACTTTGTTCAAAAGCTTCTTCATCAGGTTAAGTTTCAAATCTCGTTGGGAGACACCCACATTTAGTATCTGATAATGTCATCAATAGAATTATTTTCAGTAAGAGGATATTTGTGCTCAGAAGGAAAAAAAAATAAAAAGCTTTTTCATCAATTCATGCTTTGGAATTTAAGGTTTTCCTCCAAAACATGCTCTACTTCTATTATCGGATAATCATTCTTCCTTCATTCTTAAATATAATTCTTAATATTGAAAAATAGATTGACTACGTACATACTAATTTGTTTTATTTAGTAAAATTAGTGTTTTTTTCTCTCATGTTTGCCTTATATTTATTGTTTTGTTTTCGTTTATCTTCTATTTAATGTCACAAAATTTTAAATCTACAGGAAGAAAGCATCAAATTGCTCAAAATTGCTCAAGGGAGGGCTGCTTTGTTTGTGAGAAACTACGAAAAAGTTGAGAACCATCATTTTATTTTTACATTCTAAGTCACTTGTACGAGAAAATTTTTTTTACAAGCTAGAAAGGAATTTGTAGGGAAAAAAGTTTATTTTAAAATATAAGTCATTTGTAGAGTATTTAATGACATTTCTTCAATTTTACCATATTGAATAAATAGGAGAGAAAAAATATACACCATATTTTCTCAATACTCCTTCTTTAATAGGAGTTAATGTGAAAAATTCTATCAATTTAATGCATTCTTTGATATGCAAAAAGAGGGTACAAATCAATGTTTTAAAAGCCGAACCGGATGTCGAACAGAAAAGATCAGCGAGTCATGGTTGAAACGGTTAGATCGGTTAAAAACACACCTTAAACCTAATTTTGTGGGCCTAACTAACAATGCCCATTACTTTTAACTTTATTATTAAAAAGCACACCTTAAACCTAATTTTGTGGGCCTAACTAACAGACAAGTAACAGACATTAACCACGTTGTTATTTTTTTCCCCTTTTGATAATTTTACATTTATTTTTATACTAAAAAAACTTTAAAGTGCCTAGCGTCTTTTGATATAAACTTAGTTGTTAATATTGTACCTTAACTCTTAATTAAGATACCACCTGTATTTAGAAAAAGGACTTGCATTTGCATGAGTTAATCTGAAGAGGCCTTCCGAAGCACACCACCATTTTTGGCAGCGAGTTCTCCCCAGTCACGAGCCTAAGCCCCAGACGATACCAGATTAACCCGTGCAAATGAAACCCACCCCCCCCCCCAAAAAAAACAAAATATATATGTATATATGTATATGTATAGGTGGCATTTTAATTAAGGATAAAGGTGTAGTTTTAATCCTGATTTTCTTTCTCACCTGTAATTTTGTTTCTAATCTTTTTAATGGTACAATTTTAACCCTAATCTTATTTTTCAGGTATAATTTTGTCCCTAATTTTTTATTGTGGAATACAAAAAAAAAAGAAGATAAAGAGTAAAATTGCATCTTAAAAAAAACCAAGAGTAAAACTGCACATGAGAAATGATATCAAAATTAAAACTACACCTTTACCTGATTACATGTCATTATTTTATTAAAATATGACGCTTATCTATAACTCAGATTAACATCCATTTATTTTTCTGTTAGTGAGAGGTAAAATTGTTTCATTTTTAACAGAGGCAAAATTGCACTACTAAATTTTTTAGGGTGCTGGTTGCACCTCCAAAAATCTTTAGGAGTGTTGGGTACACTTTATGCTAAGTTTTTTAAACCAACAAAAGACATGGCGGACAATGCCAAATAAAAACAATCTTGCCAGTCTGACTAATGGAAATTCTGCAAATGTTGGGCTTGGTTATGTTTCTTCTACAGATCTGAACGCAACAAGAAACAGAAGCACCCAGTAATATTAGTACGCCTTCCAGATAATAGACATTCATAAAAGAAACTTTACGGACCTCAGCTAATCAAGCCAAGCTTCCACTACCAAAAAAAAAAAAAAAACAAATTAGTGATCCAATTTAGTGACGGAATTTCTGTCACTAATCAAAATTAGTGACGGATTAGTGATAGAATTCAGTTAGCAAGGGAACTAGCGACGGAATTTTTTCCGTCACTAATTCCACCATCACTAAATAATTAGTAACGGAATTTAAAATTCCGTTGCTGCAGATTACTAATAGATTAGCGACGAAAATTAGTGACGGATATCTCACA